TCCAAGGCAGGCAGGTGAAAGGGGGTATCTCGCTATCTGCCTGCCCTTTCAACACCCCTGGACAAACACTTCTGCCCACTTTCCATGACCTACAGCAGCACCCGAGGATGGAGACAGCAAAGGACTTGTATTCTCTCCTGACCAGTTACATACAGAGTGGAGTAAGAGGGGCCTTCTACATCCAGGCTGAGAGTGGAGAATAAAAGCAGGGACATTTTCAGTCCTTAATTCAGGAGGTTTTCTTCAAAAACTAAGTAGGAATGAGTTAAGATTTCTTCTAATTTTCCAAGTTTTTCAAAAAAGATGTTTTTGGTGAAACATTAGCAATATAAATGTCCCTGCCCCTCTCCCCCAGCAAGTCCCACAGGGATAAGAGCCAAACTTTATGCTGATGCGTCAAATCTGTCTTTTTATTCCTAGAATACAATGGCATGAAAGCCTTTGCCCAAAACCAAGCTGGTTTACTACTTATGATAAGAAGTGAATTGTCTCACTCCCCAGGCAGGCAAGACCTGACTGCACTTGCCCAGCTCAAGCTGACCACACTAATCAATTTAAAATGAACCAGACAGCAAAAGTAACTTTTTTGGTATTCTCTTTGGTGGAGTCAGAAGGTGGCTGAGCCAGGGATACAGGACTGGCAAGGCCACTGGCAGCTAACACAGGAATAATAATTAACTACCCCTTCAGAGAGGAGAGGACACCACACACACCTGACACCATGTAGAAGGCAGAACCTGAGGAGGAACCAGGCTGTGGCTGAGACATCAGCCGGGGCCCACCACGTTGAGTGGTCAGAGATCCAGTGTTCTCTGGATCCATGTTACACGGGTGTAAACTAGACCTGGTGCTGTGATTTGTGGGTACGTATGTTCGTGTTTTTTAGAGCAGGAGTCATTACCCACTTGCAAGACCCACCCTGCCAAGTTACCAACTCTTGAACTTTAATAATTGATCAAGTGACCTAAATCTAATACTGCTAACTAAAGGAACAGCATGTGAAGAGATGATGCTTCTAAATGGTCTAAATCCACAAAATCCGTGGATCTGCCACACTGTGCCACAACAAACATAAACAACCTATTCTCTCTGGTTAACTCAACACAAGTCCCAGGAAAAGGGAGGTAGTGCAAACAGCTGACATGGCATCCTTGGCAGTTCCTCCATTCCAAAGGGTGACACTTCCTTCTGTCAGATCTACAAATCCAACCCCGGTGAGCTAGAGAACTATGCAAGTTAAAAGTCGTTCTGAAGCAGAAGATAAAATGTTGCAAGGTTAAAAAGAGAGAGAATTTGTAATGAAAGCAGCTTTAAACAGAACATCTGTTCCTTTTAACTTCATGGCACTTCAAACAACCTGCTTTCACCAAGTACAAGCTATTGATATAAGCATTAAAAAAAAATACTTCTTAAACAACGAAAACTACAGATAGTCCAAATCTGTAAGTTTCTCCAGTTACAAGCACACAATATGCCCTTAAACTGTAACACCATCACTGCCTCAAACAGGATGGAAATGACAAGAAAGTGTTTTCACTGACAAAGCCACTTCCCCAGTCCACGCTCGGTTTCATAGAGCACTTCCATTCCTGGCTGTAATGGAAGACTTCAGTTAAAAACCACCCCAAAAAAATCTGCTCTTCAAGATGCAAAAGATTATAAGCCAGTGACAGAAATAATGAAAATACAGATTTTGTCAGTTGATACACAAGAACAGTTGTGTAAAAGACAGCTCAGTATTTTAAGATGAAGAATACAAAGAACAGGCTAAATGTAAGATATACCACATCTTTAAGTGCTTTTGTGCATGCTATGAAAAACAAGTGGATGTGGTTTGCTTTTCTTGCTTTTGGTGGAGTTCAGCAGTGTGACAAGAAAAAAACAGAATACAAACCTGTGAAGAGAGTTGTGTTAAAATAATAAGAGATCTGCGCGTACGTCACTCAAGAACTGTGGTTTAACTGCTATTTAAAAAGCAACAGCAAATTGCATGGCTTCCTGGAATGGCCATATGGTGTGGTAAATAAGAGGCTTCATGCGGAGCTGCCAACGTCGTACTCAAAGGCTGAAGCACTATCAGATAAATACTCAGGCTGAGCAGTGCAAGATGAGAAGGTTGAGATGAAGCCCTGTCACACACGCCACAGCTCTGAGCCAACCCAAACCAACTATTAACTGCGTTAACCATGGCACAGTGCTCACACCCATCCCCAAGGAACCTGTCTCACAACGCGTGCTGACAGAGGGCACAGGCAACTCTGACAGAAAGGTACGCAGGAAAAAGTTTACATTAAGGTCAAATGCATTGAATGAGCAGTCTAAAGAAGGACTAAAGAAGCACAAGGACACTATCCCTGCTAAAATTCTGACAAATAAATTGTAACAACATTGGTATCCAAGGATGGGGGGGGAATAATTAAAAAAAAAAAAAAAAAAAAAAGGAAAGGGATGGGATGGGGGAACTTTCTCAAGGGCACTCAAAGAATGGAAATAAATGGGCCACTGGTCACCTATTCAAGAGAGCACTCTAGGTATGTCCACAGCCTATCACATCTGAAACTGCTGCTGTTCACACTGACCTGACCTGTCATTACCTACCACAACACAAAAGACACTGTCCTCAAACCAGTTAATTTCTCCAAAACCTTGTTGTACTTGAATGCTTTCATGAAGTAACTACCAACTTCACACCCCTTAATAATTTGAGACGTTCTAGGACCCCTAGAGGTTTTATTATTTTTATTTATATTTTACTGTTTGTTTGGTTTTTTTTTTAAATAGCTTTTCTATAAGTGCAGCATTCAAGCTGTTATCAGCTAAACACAAATTTCACTGTTAAAAGTGCTAACTGCACCTTTTTACTTGAAAAAAATAGTTAATATAGGCAAAGTAAGATGGGCTTTCCCCTCCTTTTCCAATTTAAAAATGCCTGGAAAAGCTTGCAGAACTTAACATAGTCAGTTTTGGGAAGCATGATGCCAACTGTACGTACTCTCTAGAAGAACAGGGAAATCTTCACGCAGGGTTCTGCCAGCCAGCCATCCAATCACTTCAGCACACTTTTGATCTTTTATGTTTTTTGGGGGGGGTAGGGGGAGGGGGTGGGGGAAGGCATGGTTATAGCTTCTTACCACTGTACTGCCACTATAATTTACATCTATAAAATCTGTCAGTAGCTACAAAAAACACAACAAAAAAAGCAACTGAATATCTAGTCGGAAGGTGTTCATTTATAAAGAGTCTGTAACAACCTGAAGTTCAGCTGTTAAAAACTTTAAAAAAAAATTAATCAAAGAAATACATTCAAGAAAGCGCAGCAACATGAAGAAGGGATACAGGAGAGAAAGACAGCTGAGAATGACAAGTACAATTGACACTGGTTACTTTTTTAATAGAATTATTATTATAGAATAGTATTGTCCTACCTTACCTTGTTTTCCAAGTATGTGTCATCACCCATCTCCATCAAAAGTATTTATTGATATTCAAAAGGGATTATATCAAAAATTAAACAATCTCAGTACTAGAGATTGCTTAGGATTATGAGCAATGAGGGAATGGCACAAAATGCATTTCAGTATCATAAACTGATTAAAGAAAATGAAATTAAATTAGTTACATAGGATTTAGTGTGTTTTTATAGAATCAATTTGTGTTCTATCAAAAAAACTCTGAAGCACAAATTCACAATTTCGACAAATGTTTCAAAGTATTAACAAGCCCACGACATCCATCGGGCTATTAAAAAAAAAAAAAAGTAGCTTCAGGTTAAAAAGCAGCAAAACACTACTGTCAGTCAAAGCATCTTAAAAAACTCAGTAGACTTTTTACAGGCAGGAAGCTGAAGTTAATAGTATTGTTATCCTGAAATCCCAGACTAGGATGAGGGTATGTGTGAACTATCAGGAAAACGGAGAGGAGTAAATTTTGAAGAGGCAATTATTTAGTTATACTGCGGTTAGAGAAGATGGAGATTTACTGGCTCTAACAAGCTACAAGAATCAGCACCACACCATCCAAAAGGAAAAAACAAACAAAAAACAGCAATCACTAACTTCTTACATATTGTCTTTGGTTGCTTCATATCAAGAAATACTTTTTTACAGAATATGTGAAGACTATTCCTTTGAATTTCACTCTGGGTCAATATCATCTCTGTGGCCTCTTTGATAAACTAGAGGACAGGCTTTGCTTTCTATGAATTGGTTATTGTTTTCTACATTTTTGTCACATAGCTCTTCAAAACTCAAATTTCTTTCATTTACAGGTTTCTGTGCCAAAACACTATAACTAGAACAGACTCTAAATGGTATAGGGAACGCATTTTTCTTGTGTTGTAAACTTAGAACCTACTAAAACCATTTTCCACAAGATACTACTGAACTCACAGCAGGATTTAGAGACAGGACTGAACATTTCCAATATTAATTTTTAAAACCCCCAAAGTTACATTAGCAAGGATTTTAGAAGTATTATCTCTAAAATTGTAACGACTCCTTTCAAAAGCCTTGTAACAGAAAGGTGCTTTCAAGGCCCAGCCAGAGCTGCTCAGCAGTTGAGGGAAGAAGAGATGCTTAGGGTTTTTCCCCTCATTTCCTTGCCTTCTTGCTAATTAAGCTCAGAATGTTTCTCATTCTAAGGACAGTAAATGTAAGAAACAGAAAGTAGTATACACTCTTAGTGGTATTTCAACTGGACTATATACACAGTATCTCCAATGTCTGAAGCAACAGCATTCTGAATAATGTCAGATAAAAGCTAACAGGGAAAAGAAACCAACAGAAAGGCTATTGATACACCTTTAAACAAAGTAACACAAAAATAATTAACCATTGATTTCTTGGCATGTAAAAGTTCTATACAAATTTTAAAAATTTTATTTGCAGGTACTAACCTCTTGAAAAGCTCACTCTGTATTTACACTGATTCTTTTAACAAGTTTATCTCAAATTAAAGCATATTTAAAACAATCATGATTGCATTAACTTTTCTACTTTAAATTATTACCCAATTAGTGCTTTATTCACATTTTAAAAACTTGTACAATTTATTACAAATATAAAACAGTGCAGTTTTCCATACATTATCCCAACTCTGAGACAAACACTTAAAAGACATGGAAAAAGATTTTGATTTCTATAAACATAACATTTGCATTACTCATACCCCATTCTTCACTGTCCTCCCCTAACCCCCATTTTAAAAAGATCAAACATACAACATACTGTAGGTTTATTTTTATTCAAAAAGTTACTGTCTCAAGACATAAATACAAATCAGAAAACAGTACAATTAGGACAATAGAATGTGGAGGACAACAGGTTAAGGTAAATATATAAAACATTTTTAGCTGGTTGAAAACAAAGCTGTAAGAACTGCTTTCACAAAGAAACACTCCTTCAAGAGTAAGAAAAATCAACTTAAGTTTAAAATCATATATACAGTCCTCTCAGCAGTTCTATTAAATGCAGTGGTGTGAAAAACAATATAGGCAGTACTTTTAGACATGAGAGTATTTATTTATGTAAAATGAGTTAGGCAGATCTAGTTGAGTTTGTTGTTACCCCATGGCTTAGTAAAATAATTATATTTTATCATGATCCTTTAGATAATCTATGGTTTTTGGCTACCACAGCCGAATGTTTAATTTCTGAGTCTAAAAACAGGAAGCCTTTTTGTATTCACCCATTTGGGGAGATTCTTGTATTGCAAGCATATTAAGGCATGGAATGATTAAAATAATATACCTCAACAACTGAGAGACAACTGACAAAAAATATACATATGTAATATAAGTTAATATTTCCTTTAAAATGATGTCTAGCTGCCTAAGCCTTGCAAAATGAGTTGATGTCAAAATGGCATAGATCCACTTTCTGTTTTAGACCAAATTTAATTTATTTGTGAATGGACACAAAATGAAGTTTAAAGCTTAGCTTTCAAAGAATATTATGGGTTCTTTATGAATTTCTATTATCCAATCTAATTTACATACAGAGGAAATGTACTGTAACCTGTTAGAAGTATCTTTAACCTGAAGACTGCTTGCAAAGACAGATAGATAAAACAATATAAAATACAAATTTAAAAATCATTTTAAAGCATGAATTCTCATGCTCTTCTATTTTTAAACATTGTTAAACTTTCAATATATTTCTGAAACCTCATAATTTTAAGTTGGAATTTAAAAGTAAGAAAAAACTAAACAAACTGCGCAATTATAAAATCAGCACCAATTTATATATATATATAATTTTATTTAAAATTTAGATCCCTATTCCCACACTCTAATAAGCTGTATAATTTTTGTTTAGAATTTTTCTGCAAACATACTACAATAAGCTTCTTTTATTTGGAGACAAAATACAGTGGCACTACTGGAAGGAATTTCACAACATTACATTTTTTCTTAAAGGACAAGCAAACTTTCAGGGTTGGTAATGGGCAAGCATGACTGAGATCTGTTATGTTCTGGTATTTCATAGTTATGGACCTTTCCAAGAAGGCTAGCATGAAACTTTTGGAATAAAAGTGTGTTTTAGATTAAAAAGCTGTTAAAATTCTGCTTAATGTATTTTTTTCCACAATTAATTAATACAAACCTTCTGTTGCTGAAGTTTGCATTTAATTTAAATACTGACACTCTTCTGGTTCTATCACTGTAAGAAAACCAATCCATCTATTATTTCAGTTCATGGATGTAAACAGCACTCCAGCAGAGCTCATGATTATTTAGTATAGCCAGCAAATGTATAGAGAGGGGCTCAAATCTGTACCAAACACCTCTCACACTGTTAGATTAAAACTCCGAGGGAATACTTCTTATGATCCAGAAATAAACTGATAGCACATAAATAAAATATTGATTTTTATTTTTCCCAACAAAAAGTGTAGCTTATCCTCAAATTGTTTACTTGTCCTTTACATTTCTTTTTTTTTCAGGCAAACAAAACTGCCCCTTCAATGCACTTGATCTTGAAAGCATGTCATTCTCCTTAGAGAAAAATCTGTTCAGAATTTCACTGTATCTACCACAATTTTGTATTGAAAAACTTCCTCTTCCACTTAGAAAATGACTTCACCACTGATTTATTTGCTGCTCTGGTATTAAAACATTGACACCCCAAGAACCTAAAAAAAAAGTTAGAAATGGTGTCAATTTGTAGTCTACTACACATTTAACAAAAACAAAGCAATTAGTATATGATTTAAGATTAAGACACTTCAAGATATGTTAAGGCATTATAACTTTTATTTTTTCTTCCAAACCAGATTCACCACAGTTCTGATTTATGTCATAATACGAAAAGGGCACCTCATTCATTAGAAAATATTTTTCCCACACTTGAAATTAACTATTCCAGGAGGAATGTGATAAAGACTGTGCTTTAATTATTTTAGGTCATAATTGCAAAATAATTTTTAGTTAGTTGCCTAACTCTGACTGCTTTGACAATGGCATTCTATAGGCCTTAACTTGAAATCAAGTGTGTAGTTTCCAGCAACTAAGCCTGGGACAAAACTATACACTGGCTGCTGCTGCGTCTGTGTTCATAAAAACAACAGGACACCTTGCAGCAGCTAGCCAGGACACAAACTTAATATTTCCTATTAAATATATCAACTCTGTCAGGAAGACAGTGAAAAAATCAAACAATAATCAGGTAAAATCAAAATACTGTCCTTCAGGAGACTGTGTTATTAAGTGAAGAAAAAGCTTTCCTGAAATAAAGAATCAGTTTCCACTTCCCACGTGGGAGCAAGCCATACAGTTTTCTATGCCAATGGAAGTAGGAATCATCACTGATATGCCAGAACAACCCCCAGAAGGTCCGGATCTTGTGACTGTCCTAGCTTTTATAGGACTTTATAAAATCAGAAAGAGCCATGCGAGACTTAAATTTTCCTGAACCTTAACACTACTGTTCACATTTATCTGTTTACAAACCAGTTTTTACTGTTCTTGGTATTAAATTCACTTTAGATGCATCATACAATATAGCACACTAAGACACAACTGCCTCTGGTGCCAACAATAAGTGGACACATCAAAAATGAGAAGACGAGACTAAAATTCTGATCATAAACCATGTGCATCTGAATAAACTCAACACCTTTATTATATCTAGGTCTATTAAAAACAAGTGCAACAACTCCAAGAATAATGGACCTCTGAAATATATTTATTATACGAATAAAGCAAATTAACTTTATTCAGAGAAGGTTTTTTGCATTTATGAAATTGTGGGGGTTTTTTACATTTAAAATACTGACTGATAAATTCAGCTCTGATTTAATAGGGATTCATGTTGTCTCCTTTACTATTAGCAGAGCTTTCCCCATTTAGGCAATTAAATTCTTTTAGTTGGGGTTTATGCTAAAGAGCAGCTATTTTTCTGCAGTCCTGCTTCCAGGATCACCACCTTGGCTGTGTCCTGCCTGGGAGAAAGGTTTGCTAGATGGTGTCCCCTTGACCATACCAACTCATTTCAGTGCACCACTGCTCCCTGCTTGCAGGGGAACAGCAGAGAGCTTGTTCTGCTGGCACGCTGAGGCAGGCCACCGCCGGGCTGTGGGAACAGGCTCCCAAAGCTGCCAGAGCAATGAGACTGTAACCGGCTGCCATCATGTGGTGATACTCCCACACTGTAGCTACGGAGTGCCTAGCAAATCCTGGGCTCATGTAGGGTGATGAATGAGAAATAAAGTAATAGGAAAGAAACCAAGCTAACAGCAAACCTATTAAAACTATTCTTAATTAGTTTTAGAAAATGAAGAGCTGAAAGGTTTCTGAAATCAATTAAATGCACCTATAGAAGACCAAGTTTTCAGCATTGTCAAGAATAAAAATGACTGGTATTTCACAGATAAATCAATTAAAAATCAAGAAGGGGAGGGGAAGAACTCTTTTCAAACAGAATGTCAGAAAACAGGTGATATACTTTCTTGGTGTTACTTCAAGAACAGAACACACAACAGCTAGATGCACAACCTAATCTGATTCATTACTACTAAAGCAAAGGCCTACTGGTACAAAATATATGGATTTGCATTTGAAACAGTATTTAAGACTTCTTTCTCCCATTACAAGAACAGGTTCACGCTGCAACAATATTGTAAAAAATGCATAAGCGTCTTCCAAATTCCACCAAGCTGTCCAAGATTCCCAGGAAGCCTTGTTGTACTGTCCTCTGCTGGCTTGCTGCAGTTTGTTATATCCAGTGTAATTTTGTACCAGCTACACAAGGTCAAAAATGGCTGCATACATTACAAGTGGTTCAAGACAGGAGGAATCCCTCATGCAGATTTTTAAAAGAGAATAGAGACTGCAGATTTATCAAGTCGGAAAAAAGGGCAACTGCAAGCAGAAACTACAGACTTCGGATGTTTTGGACCTAAAACTTTATATGGAAAGAAAAAATACCTCTCATCTCTATAAACAGGTATCTGTATTAGCTCTATTATCTATTTTCTCCATTATCTTACTTATGCACAAAAGTAAATATTCCAATTTTAAAAAAGAAAAAAAAAACCGAAACAATGCTGACAATTGGTATTGACATCAGAGTCACTAAAATAAGCTCATCACAACAGGAAACTTGCCTTTAATATTGTGTATGCACAATTTTTTTTTTTTAAAGCTCTTTGCTACCAACCTTTGCAAGGGTCTTTTCCATACCAAACGTGTTTCCTTCTTAGATTTAAAGGCTTTTGATTTTTACATAGCTATATATAAAATATTAAGAACAAAAATCCTACAAACTTGCAAAGAACATTGACTACCTTAGAATTTATGAAGCTGAATTACAGCATAAAGTATTTAACTGACTGTACCAGTCTGCCAAAATATGCTAATGAAGACAACCTAAAGATTGCATTCTTTCCATTTAAAATTTGAAGTAAGAGAGTATTGTAACCTTAACACTGATTTTACATTATTTTCCTCTTATGTAAGTTAACCTACCGATTCATCCATGATTGAAGCGGGGTCAAAGAAATCTGGTTTTAGTTCCGTTCTTTCTCTCCTGTTCTTTGATGGCGGCTTTAGAAAGCAAGCAAATAAACATGTTAACTGTAACTGCACCAAAAAAACCCCCAAAACATTTTTCAAACTGTAAGAAATTAAGCTGAACTCTCAAGGGGTAAGAAATTACTGGAGATAAATGTTCATCTCTGACAATATTATTACAGGAAGTGTTCTTGATTTTGGTCTGGCAGTTTGAACAGATGGCATTTTGTATACAGACAGTGGCACAGCCGTTTAGGAATGCAGATATCAACAAGAACCATTTCTTCTGTTTCACTAAAAGGAAAATTTGATTCAATAACCTACTTTAAAAGTAGAAATACAAATCCAAAATCCACTAAGAAGACAAATCAATTTCTTACTAGGTCTATGTCCATGGTGTCAAAATCCATGCCTTCATTGAGATCTTCAATCCGCCCTTCTGATGACATCATCACATCTTCAACAATTGGCTCTTCATCATCTTCCATTAGACTTGTGCCACGTCGACTGAATTGAAAAGAAAAAGCATATTGTTAGCATTAAAACAAGTTATATTTTTATCTGAATATTTAAAAATATTTAATGTTCACTACGGAATTGACAACAAATTATAATTCAATTAGATGGAAAATAAATACAGTAATTAAATAAATGTGTAACTACTATTAAAGAAAACTGCTATTTAATCAGCTAGAAGATACAAAGAGAACAACTAACAAAGATAACTTATGGAACTTTGTGGTGCATCTCTCAATGGGTATTCTGAGAGGCTGTGGGAATTGCCAGGTAGATCTAATTCAGAGATTTTCATGCAAGTATTTATGCTCAAGTGAGAAAGAACCTGAGTTTTGCCACCTAAAGAAAAATTGTTCCTGCCTTACGACAAGGCAAGGAGGAATATGTTTGTGATAAAGTGGATGCATAAATCCATTTTCAATATGGTATTAAAGAGTTAAAAACAAGTAGGGGAAAGATGTAAAGCTCCTCAAGATATATGTCTACGGTTTCAGTTCACAACTTGTACTTTTCTTCTATAGAACCACAAAGTCTTAAAGCAGAGAACTAAAACTAGTTGACCCCTCCTCAACTAAACTAGCTCTGGAACATGATTTCATTAGCGTGCATGCCAAAATGTACATGTGATGAATCTCCATGAAGTAAATGGCACGAGAGTAATAATGTATGAACTCTGAAGGACAACATGCATTTAAGAAACATTAGACTGTCTTCATCTTCGTTCACAATGTGGAGGACTTTACAAGGTTTTTGTGTGTTTGGGTTCTACAAAAACTGGCACTACAGGATTCCACTCAACTCTGGTGTCAAGTTTAGGTCAGACAAAATTATCAATCACAGAAATGCTGAAGACAGCACTTCCTTTAAAAGCAATACTTTAAAATAAAAAAGCAGCTTAACTCTAAACTCAGAAATAGTAGAATTAAAGTGAGCAGAAACTTTCTGCTTCACAAATCGAATGCCTATTATAAAATTAATTTTTAATATTCTATTTCTAAAAATGATTCTGCAGTTTGGAACACAGAAAGATGATGTTTCACATGTTGCATTGATTATATATACCTGCCACAGATAGCATTTGGTTCAACAACCAGTTCTTTTTATTACAGAGCTCACTACTATTTAATTTTTCTGGAACTTAGGTTCAAAATAAGCATGAAATCAAACACACCTATTCTGCTAAATGCATCACTGTTTTTCTAAGGCAACTTAAAATTTTAAGATGAGGAAAAACACTACTCAAGAACTAGAACATGTATCCCTCTTAAAATATACACGAGTAACACTGCATTTAATAAACCCTCCCCAAACCATTGAAGGAACATTTCACGCTCACTCACATCGCATGTTGTAAGTTGGTTCTCAGCTTGACGTAGTTCATCGCTGCCCTCTCCTGTTGTTGTCGTGCGGCTTCTTCCTGTTGCCTTTGAGCCAACATCCACGTTACTTGCGTGCTTAAAAAGACCATTATTCTATTTTAAACACGAACTGGTTTTGTGTATGAACACTAACACAAAGCAGACCTACTCATCTACGTACTTGTAATCGAGTGGAGCTTGGTGGTGTTCAGGCTGCATAGGATAGACACCCATATAATTTTCTTCAGGTCGCAATCTCTTGGGCTCCCTCATTACTGTGGAAGTAAGCTGAGGTGTCTGCATCATGACTGGTGTGTGCATTGTCTGCTCTCTGTTCAGCCACATACTGTCACTACTGCTGCTTTCTTCAGCTGAAGGAAACACAGGACACCAGTACATTTTTTCAAACTAGTCTAAAATTTAATGTTTCAACATGATTTTAAATGCATGTCCTTTCTGCTTACTGAGAATCAATTTCTCTACTTTTTGACACAAAGTCTTACGTGTGCCCCAAAAGGCCTGGATTTATAACCACTGCCTAGAGTATTTAAAATACTTTTATATTCTGTGACTTAACATTGTGTAGAGCCTTTACTTCCTTTTGTGAATCAGTGTTATATTATTCAGACTCCTCAAATAAATAGTTTTCCCACTAAGACATATACATGCAGAGAAGTTATCCTGTTTTAAAAAAGTACACTAAAGTAGACAAATTAACTCAAGCTAACAAAAAGGGATTGACATGTGTAATTTACATTAATATCTACTCTAGTAAATTTTAAGATGAGAAAAGTTCTACCTTCAGGTACTTTCCGTTTCCCTGTTGCTGGCTTTGTCTTCTTATTTCTTATTGTAGATCCTCGACTACTAATTCCACTAATCACTGACATAGTATCATCATCCCCACCAGCTAATAAAGAGTTTCTGTAGGACATGAGAGGAAGCCACACATCTTCCCTTCGTAGAGACATCTGAAAGGTCATAAACTTCTCCAAGTAAACATACCTTTAAATGGAAAAAATAATTATAAAGATGCAAAAAATATCTGTAAAAAAAATGTTAACATGTCGAGATAAGCAACCACTGAAATTAACACCCAGTGCTCCTCATCTAGTTAACAAAAAGGTCTGACAACTGCAAATCCAGAATATGATTTCTGTTCATGCACCATAAAACAAGAATAACAAGGATAAATACAATTTACTCTTTGTGATGATGCTTGACTGCATTAGTGTAAAACTATCTTGATGTGCCAAAGATTCCACTTTAGGTGAATGCAATACACCTAAAAATGTGTTTATTCAGATGCAAGTCTTTTATGGTTATAATTACAAATATTAAGGATATTAACAAAATACTTACACTGTTCTTTTGTCTTGTCTGAGAAGTTTGGAGGAGAATTCACTTAGAATATCAAGAAATGCCAAATTTAAAGGTGGGTGGCTCTCACCTTGTGGATTAGGCTCCTTAAAGGCAAATTCTATGCCATCCCTAAGAAAAAGTTAAAAATTAAGTCAAACAAAGCATAAACCAGAGAAAAAGTTCTAAGCACTGGGAGCTATCAAAACTGAACACCTTTCCTCTACATCAAGAGAGCAATGATTTGATGCTATATATTAAAAAAAAGTGTGAAAAATGTGAACACTACTCCTAATTTGAATCTGGACGCACGCTTTCTGTCATGATGTTTCTACCTTGCATTTTGAGTTTCCTGCAAGAGGTCAACATGACCATCACTGACAATGAAGTGGATCAGTTCTTACTGTTACAGATAAGACATTAAAAATACTTTTTCATGATAGCATCAATGCTGCTATCATTTCCAGTCTTATACAATGATGGTGAAGAACATCAACGTTATTTAACATTTGGGCTTAATTCTGGGACAAAACTGCAGTCATCTCCTAACTTATAAATAGGCTATGTCATCTCTAGTGCTGATATGTTTAAACAAACTGATTTTGAAAGACTGAAAAGATATTTTAATATTAGTCAAGAAGTGTTACAAAAAGGTAACAAAAAGTAATACAAAGCACACAATTACTTGTGTAACATAGCAATAGCTTCTCTTGTTTTCAACTGATCCAGTCCAAACGTTAAAGCAAAACGTCGAGCAAGTTCCTTTATGCCACTGAATGTTGGTGATGATCTGTCAAAATTATAACCATTTTCTTGAATCATTTCATTGAAAAGCTGTACAAAATGAAAAGAGAGATTTTTGTTTATTAAAAGATTATGCCAAACTTCAGACCAATAGACACAGAGCTAAGTTTCAGTAAAAAAGGGTTTGACAGCTTTTTTTTCCTTAATTCGATAACCCCAAAAGACAAACACAGAAGTTTAGGAAAGGCAAGTCAAGGCTACTCTTGAAGAGTCTGCATGTCATTTAATCCTTGATCCACTCTCCAAGTAGCATCCAAACTGTAAATATGCTGGATGACAGAAATCTTCCCTAAACGATGTGTTCTGGAGTTGAAAATACTAAGCTTTAATAGGATTCCTTGATACATACACTAACAGAGAAGAAATAAATGGGGTAAATTCTCACCTGGTATTTACTATTAAGGTTTCACAAACTACTTTCTAATTTATTTTTTTTTTAAATTATTATTATTTTATCTTTTCAAAATACAAGTATAATGAAATTCTAAAATGGAAACACATCTTCGGGCAAGTTGCCAAAGACACCAGAAACTCTGCCACCAAAGACCAGACTTTTAACTATTCATCAATAGTTGGCAAAGTTGAACACTCCGAAATTTACATATTTTTTTTTTCTTTGATCAATCCTTTTCTCATCCCACTTAATTCGACCATAATTGTCTTCAACAGTCAATTTTTCTATTTTCTAATTTTGTCTAATACACTCACCTTTCACCTTCCATATAACACAGAGTAAACCAAAACCAGATTTACTAGGGCTACAAACATTAACTTTTCACTGATAGATACATTTTGGCCTGTAGTTGTATACTTTTGTTTTATGTTGGTGTAGCTCACTGCAACTTAGTTATTCCCTTTATCCACTATCACATCTAGTATTTTTTCTCTGGTTAGTTTATTTTTAAGAAGTTTTCCTGGAAAATAAAAGATGCTAGTTACATGTTTTAACCTTACATGGGGTTTTTTGGTTTGTTTGTTCTGCAATACTTGGGGCCCCTTACGTTACAATTCTTACTAGGATTGTGTAACTGCCTCCCTATTACATGTGTAATAGTACTTTCTACATTCACTTCCTCTGTCTGTCCTTTAAAATATAAGGGGCTGGTTATTCATGACACAGAAAAGACTTAATAAGGATAGCATTTACTCAGTATCACAAAAATCTGTGAACTCTGATGAAAAGTCAGCAAAAACTGTAGGAATATTTAGTTGTCCATTTTATGCTGCAGTTCCATCAGCTACTTAAAATCATGCTGCTATCAAAAGGAAAGGCCTCATCCTCCCTTGCTTGTATTGCCAATATCCATGCAGAAACATCAGCTCAAGGGCTTCATTAAGGACTTTTTCTGGTTAGTTCTCAACCAAGATTAATATCCAAATCTATATCCAATAAACAGCTCTATGACCTCTAGTTCAAAAAAAGATGTGGGGAAAGAGGAAAAATTGGGGTACATTTTTCCTTTCCACAGTAGCAGAGATCTATGTTGGATTACAGTGGTTTGCAGAGATATGGCTTTATTGTTCTGATCCTGTAAATAAGATTCATGCAGATGGTTCATGTGAGCAGATGAATTCGACTCTGACCTCGACTGAATTCATCAGGTCTCCACACAAACTCATTTACTGAAGAGAGCATTAAACCATGTTTTAATTTCAAAGATGGGTGAAGCCCCTACCAAACATTAAGAAATACTGAATTACTAAAACTTCCCATTACTTCTCAGAATAGTTAAAAAAAAGGCAAACCCACCAAACAAAAACCTCAAAAAAAAAAAAAAAAAAACCAAACCCACCAAAAACCCAGATAAAAACAATCCAACAACAAAATTAAAAGAAAAACAAACACAAAACCCCATTGCACAGGCAGGAATGTTTTCCCTTGTTTATCTGTTCATGATTAAGTACACTAGCAGTTCCACAACACATTTCCAAATATGTGACACAAACTATTGTTTTAAGAGTTAAGAAGGTATCAGAGTTACATTCATTTTGTTTTTATCGGCCTCTCACATACACTTTTCATAGTGCAATATTTAGTAAGTATGGGAAGACTCGTAGCAGTTTTTCAAATAGTTGCACAAAGTATATTTCATTTTAGACCTATTTATCCCTATCTCCTATAAGAATTTCTTCATTAATACCTCATAATACCTATTAAACACCGGGATGTGATCTACAGTATGGAATATCATGCATAAAAATATTGTAAATCATTCTTACCTGCTGCAAGCTAAGAATAAGTGTTTTAGCACACTGGATTTTGTCTATCTGTCTTGTTTTACTCATCGTTTCTTTAATAATATCACCATAGTCATTGTAATACTAGGAAAAAGAATTAAAAAAAGGTTAATTTTCTATTTTCATTTACCTTCAAGGTCATGACACATTTGTTAATGACACATGTTCACCCCTTCAGGGTATAAAATTAATCTTTTTAGTAACTACTGTAACTCTGGTGGGGAGTTTTCTGTTTTTTCTTTTAAAAGGGAAGCACTTATAGACAGGTTCATAGCTATAATTTTTCCAATGAAGACAGCTGCCTGTTCAGTTCTTTAAGCATTTCAGGTTCAATAAAGACCCAATTATTTAGATTCAAAATAGATGTAGGTCACTCAGACAGACAAAAGCAAGTTGTCCAAATTTTAATTTTTTTTACAGTAATCACCAAGGAGCAAAGCTTTATCATGTTCACAAAATGAGAACTCATATTATTGTGCATTGTGAATCCCTGGAGCTGAGTAGGGCTTTTTTATATTTAAGTAAAATAGAAACAGGCAGTGCGAAGGTGAAACTCACAAAACATTTTTTTCTCTTCTACAAAGTTTAAGCTGACATTTTTGGATGAAGCTGGACATCACGGAGTTAACCTTTGTGAGAAGGTTCTCAAAAGGCCTGCTAAACTAATAACGGAATTAAAAATATACCACCGATCAGGGTAAGAAAATAAATCTATTAAAAATAACAAAAATAATTATCAGGTTTCCTTCCTCCCTCCCTGCTACCCACACACTGGAACTGTGAAACTAATCTCTTTTTTTTCCCTTCTTATGGAAAAATAACTATTAAAGGCCTACAAACTACCAACTCTGAAGTTTAGAATTCTTCAAATTTTGAATCAAGGTATCTTTGTAAGGTAAAAAAATAAATAATTAAAACCCCCACAGCTACTGTATTCTAGTAGTTTTATGAAGTATCACTATTAGGCTTCAGAATTACCTTCATATATTGCTTGAAAATGTCTGCAGCTGTATTCATTTCCACCACTGTATATACAATAAGTTTACAGAAAGCTGCAAGTAGGTTTCTTCTTTTGTGCAATGCTTCAATTTTGCTAGCTTCATCATCCTGCTGTCCATCTACAAAGAGTTCAGAACAGGAAAACTGTCAAGTTTAAATACTTCATGTTTAAGCATTTATACAAAAGTGATGTGGGCTAATGGTCAAGATTTAGAAAATCAAATCTCAATTCTGATGGTATCGCCCACTGAACAAGTCTCTTTTCCTGATACAGAGACATTATTTATTTGTGCCTGTTAAACCAAACTTGTACCACAATTATCCTACATGTCCCAAAATGAAATGCTTTAATTGGCTGCTGACATTTAAAAGACAAACCTACCTCTGTGTCCATACACACCTCTCAATGTCAGAAAAAAAAGAACAAAAAACAAACAAACAAAAACCAACAAAAAACCCAAACCTACCACACACAAAAGAAGCACAGGCAAACAAATATACTAGTTAGAGGGCAAATAACGGAAAGGAAGCATAAGTTTTGTACAAACCTGCACTATTATTATCATCATCCTGATCAATGAAGACATGATCCAAAATAAAACTAAGTAGTTCAGATTGCAATGAAGAATCAGGAGTGTAAACAAGTGGCTCCAACATATCACGTCCTCCTGTCATAATCTGATGACTGAAGATCATCAACACATCACACAGAATCGTGAAAGCCTATTAAAAAGAAACCTTAGTAAATACTTGCTTGGCAGCTGGCTTTTATTTAGAATAATGTACTTGCACTTAACAAAATACTTAGAGGCCAATGGTGCATGCAGGCCACTTAAGCCCTGATCTAGAGAACTACACAGGGCAACGGGAAGTCAAAATGTGCATAGTGTCTTAGGACATTGCTGTATGAAGACTGGGTCTCCAAACAAAAATATTGCACAGATAAAGCCAACTAAATATCAAAACATTGTTAGATTAAAACATACGAAGCCTGAAACTCCCAAATTCTGCCTTATGGATACTACATTAGGTCACTAGAGAACTTTGTGAACACAAACCATAGTAATCCTCCCCCCCCCCCCCCCCCCACTTCCTTTTTTTTTTTTTTAACTCTTTCAATCACATTTGTAAAACATCTAACAGCTGAGGCCATTTGAATCCTGTAAATCCTGAAGTACGTATTGCTTCCAAAAAAGCAACCACCTCTTCATTTTGCTGGCTGACATGTGTATCTGACACCAGATTTAAAACATCTGTACTCCACCTCCCAGAGAAGTTCAAATGTAGACTGACATTCTTCAAACTAACAGACCACCGTAACACACTGCTTAGTGCTGCACCTCATCTCTTTGACTCTCATCTCTTAAGTACTTCCATTACTAATTTCCTGGTCACAAAAATACATATGCTCCTCCTAAGTCCCTTGTGCCCTTTCATAAGATTAGAGAAGGAAAGCAGAACCATTTCTATTGTACCCTATGTGATCCAGGCAGCTGTAGTTCCTAGAGCATTCGCCTGAGAATAAAGCAGCCTTTTAAAGAGACCTATTCAGACCTGCAGTAGTTTTTTACTCTCACTTTCACACCCTTGTGATTTTGACACTAGATAGCCTAGAACATAGATACATAGAACATGCCTATTCAGTTCCAAGAATATTCTTGTTATAGCAAGAGTTTCAAAAGCTACAGTTGTGCGACTCAGTGGACCAGATTTTCAACTTCAAGCTCAACCAGGCTATTATTAACTTTAGCAGCAAAAAGGCTCCTGGCTTTCTATTTGTTTAATTAAAAAGTATACTCAGAAGACAGTTTTGTCCTTCCCCCATAGATGGATACTTCATTTTTTTCATTTTAGCATTCTAAAGGTTGTTAAAGGCATTTACTTATAATTAAATCCTGCTATCAGTAACCTGGGCTCTTCACTGGAACCTGAAACTCCTGTGAGTGTCCTGGCTAGAGAACTATTTGACTACAGACTTGAAGAGACTCAGCCTCTACAGTTTAACCTTTTCTTTTGACCCTGTTACCCTCAGAACTCAAGGCAAGTATTTCTCAATTATTTTTGAATAAGAAGAAAAATAAAAAAGAACCCCCAAAATCTTAATGCCTGCATTTTTCTTAAAAAATCCAGGACTTCTGTATCCTGCCAGAAGCGTCAGGCACTACTTGCATGGACTAATTACCTTTATGTTCTGTCTGAAATACCCAAGAACTTAGTTCCAGCCAAAACTCTCCCCCACAAAGAGCAACTATAGGAGGGACTGTCTATACAACTGATAAAATGAAAACTGTGCGCATCTTTTCTGAGCAGTACATCATTGTTAAGGCTTCCAAGCACTTGCTAGAATGGTCTCCAAATATCTCTAAACAATACTGTTAACAACTGACCAGTGTGTGAGCATACACAAGGGTGCCCACAAGAAAGAAATACCTCTTCCCAACAATAACATCCCCTAGGTTACAGTGCATATGTGTGCATGAATAAACACACACACACACACACACACATACACACACTAATGTTAAGTATCCATTCTTCTTCTGATGCAGAGATCCCCAAAATCCTGGAACTATGAAGAACTGAGGAATATATTCTGTGTGCAGCATCACAGTGAAAGGGAACAGACAAGAGAAGTTGCCCCTGTATGTCCCCAGAGGTCTACAGTAAGAGGAGGAAAGTTGTTTTAAATAGCTCTCTTTTACATAGCTGTCCCTAGCTCTTCCAGCTCGGAGTCTCTGCATCCACAATCAGCTCCACCGGAGGTGGGTGTCATGACTGCACGGTAAGCCAGAGCTTTGCAATGGAACTCCCCACCTAGCTTACAAACCAGAAGGTTTCTACAGTGCACCTGCACAGTTGTTGTTTAAGGAAACAAACAAAAACTACCTCTTTAGGGAGTTTATGCTGCTTAAAATTACTAGAAAAAATCAAGTTTATATTGATTCTGAAATCCTACCTAGAGGAGGGCAAGCATACAAGTACAGTGTGTATTCAGACTCCAAGGGCATTCAGCCTAAACATCCAAGACACACCACATTCCCACATAAGCACTGAAAATACCAGCAAGAGGAACTTTTCAACTGCTTTAAAAGTGTAATATTAGAAGACAAGGACAAACAACAGTCACTAACCTGTTCCTTAACAGCAGTGTTTACGTTGGTCAGGTAGTGTTGACAGATTTGACAGAACACTCTCATCTGCTTCTTTAGACGTAGAAGATCCTCCTTTAAAGAGAAGGATATAACAGTTGTACTTTTTCAATTTTACAGTTGCATTTAGTGTGTGCAATTTCACAGAGCTATCCACTACAGACCTCGTATGTAGCTGTAATATTCAAATCCACTGCACTATTTAAAAATCACTGTTATAAATAAAATTAGCAAGTAGCAATTCCCTCAATTTTGTCATCCTGTGTACCGCAAAAGGAAATGGAAGTTGGGATGAAAATAGTGGAAGTTATTTATTAAAAAAATAGTAACAAAAAAACTCCCCAAAGCCAAATCTAAAAAAATCCTACCAACATTGCCCCCCCCCAAAAAAAACTCAAAACACCACAACCCAGAGCATAAAGCATTTTCTCTTAAAAATATCTGTATTTTCAACCTAGAGGACAGATTTTAGGTAGCTGTTTATAACTAAACCAGACATGACTACATGTGTTTTTTTGTTGTTTGGTTTGTTGTTTTTTTTTACATTCACTGCTTGGAGATAAAGTAAAATGTCAGATGAGAGCTGGGGTTTTCTTCCCCTTTTCTATCGGGGGGGGGGGGGGGGGGAGGATTTTGTTGCAATAATTTCCAGAAAAGTAAAATTATTGAGCAAATAAAGTACCAAATTGGTACAAAGAGCATTAGCATGTGCGGCATAGCTGGTGTTCTAACTTCTAGTTACTTAATCATGTGAAGACTCTAGCCCATGAAGAACTGGGGAAGTCATATTACAAAAGACGGACTGTGTAACCAGCATCAGTCCAAAGAAGAAACACCGCTGAGAGAAGCTTAAAAACTATCCATGCAATTTAAACCAAAACAAGTCTCTCCCTTCAAGAAAGCAGGTAACCCACTGGTGCAGCACATCATTTAATCTCAAAAGCAACAGCTGCTTCTCGACTATGAGTTCAAGTATAATAAGATTTTGGAACACCTTCACTACCTAAAACCTTTTCTCACAACATTTACCATTCAGATTACTATACTGATGTTGAGAATTACACATGGGAACATTTTATTTCCTTTAAACAGCATTATTCATTTAAATTTTAATAAAAAGTGAACTATTTATGTAGTCTTTTGTTTTAGCAGCCTATATAATGAAGCTAATTCCCATACTTAGTCAACCTGTTCACAAACAGCACACAGTTAGCAGTTAATTTTGTCACAGAAAAAAAAACCAACCAAACCAAGCAACCAAACAACAGCAATCTTTAGGCACAGTACGTTTCTGTCACTTCTGGTTCTGTGCTTCAACTCCTTTGCTGTTATGTTCCATTGGCATTGAACAGAAATCAGTGGAACTTCTGTATGTACCTGGTATATTTGGTGGCAGCAGTCAAGCAGTTAAATATAATAAAATAGTTGCGGATCAGAAGTTAAATCTATGAAAACTTTAAGTTACTAAGTTTTATTATACAGGAGCAGAACAGTCTCAATAAAGGACCATTTTTCAAGTAAGTTCTTTTCATTCCT